TTTTTTTTTTTGCGGGGCGGTTCGATGCGAAACCGATTAACAGCCAAATAAGTGAAGCAAAAAAAAGGAATACACTTCACCAAGTCGGCGAGATAAAATGAGGAAGACGTGCCAGGTGTGCAAGCAGAAGCTGTACCAGTACGTGTGTCCCTCCTGCGAAATCGTCTACTGCAGTCTCGAATGTTACAAAAAGCACAATGATGAGTGCGTGCACAATTTCCTGGACAACCAAGTGAAAGAGAATATAAAGAATAATCAGCTGACCGATTTAGACAAACGCGAGTTCAAGTTCAAGCTCAGGAAATTTTATGAACAAGGCGGCGAAGGCGCAGAACAGGAAGGGGAAGACGAAGACGATGAGGAAGTCGCTGATGGGGAAGAAGCGGGAATCGGTGATGAAGAAGAAGATGCTAAGACAGAAGCGGGAATCCCTGATGAGGACGTCGCTGATGAGAAAGTTGCTGACGAGGAAATCGCTGACGAAGCAGGGTCGGATGCGCCTGCCGCCTCACCGGGTCATGGACACCTGAAGAAATGGTGCATTAGCAACAAACGGTACAAGGTGCTGACGGAGCTGGCCAAGAGCGACCAGCTCAAGTTGGACCACCTGACGCAAACAGAGCAGAAGCAGTTCTTCTCATTTCTAAAGAGTAACGACATGAATGCATACTTGGAAAAATTCCAACCCTGGTGGCTAAACTGTGTCATTAAAAAGGTCCCAACACCTGAACACATTTGCTGCAACAAGCGTGTAAGTGAAAATGTCAAGTTCATGATAATCGAGATGGTCTACTCCTACTGCTATTTGTTACGCATTTTTAATGAAAGCCTTGATGGTAAGGAGTTGTGTTACTGTTTGCTTTACATGGCTAGCTCCCTGAACAGATTTAATCTGCCCGAAAGCAACGTGTACAACACAGTGAATAATTTATTTCAGAGGATCCTCGAAAATGATGAAATCGCTCGAGAAAAAGGTATACTGTACAATGTCATCACCGATGTTACAATTATTCTCAAGCTAAAAGATCTGTTACTTAGGTGTTTGTATGAAACAAAAAAGTTTTTTAAAAAGCAAATAAAAAAAATGAATTGCAAAAAGGATAAAATGGATAGTAGTGTCAGTGGCACTAAAAAAATGGCTGCACTATTACAGGAAGAAAAACATTTTAAATATGTGAATAAGAAAATTACCTTTCTTTGTAGCTACGCCAACTACCACTATGATGTGTTTGACTCCGTGACAAAACAACTTGAGCGATTCTACAGTGAGCAGAGCAGGGGGATGGCCCTTGCGTCTAATGAGAAACGAGAAATTGTACTCTCTAAGGAGATGCCGTAAAGAAAAGGGGGGTGTACCCTCACCATGCGTTAAACTGCTGCCCACCACATGTGTGTCACCATCGCAGTTGCGTTAACCAAACTGTCGCTGCAAATTATTTTTTTTTTCATTTGTAGTTGCCATGTTGGGCGTATTCAAAATAATTTTTTGTGCGAAACGTTTGGGTGCTCTCATTTGAGCGCTTTTTTTTCGTGTTGACCAACCTGACTTGTAACCGGCCCTGCCCGTTTGCCTCTTTTCATTTCTCCCCTACGTGGGAACACACGCGTATATAAACACCTATGCGGAAGCGTCCACCCATGCAAGCCGCTTTTTTGCACCTTAACTTCCAGAGTCCATTCGTTCAATTCCCACCCGGGGGAAAGGAACTTCTCGAAGTTTGGATGGATCCCTCCCTCCGTTGAGTTCTCCCTTTGAGGGGCAGCAGAGATAAGGCACCGCATGCAGATCAGGGGGGAGGGTGTAAAAAAAAAAAAAAAGAAACGCACGAAAAATGTGTAAACTGCAAGATGGAGGAATCGCGAAAATGAAAACCTCTTCCCCCCTCCGTTCCCTCCTCCTCGGCAACGCGTGTGACACGAACGTGTAAAATGGGCCCAGGAAAAGTCGCCTACGCGAAGATGGAACCTCACACAGGTGCTTACACAAGGGGAAAATTAAAGGGGGAAAAAAAAAAGGAAATTTTTTCCATTTTTTTTTTTTTTTTTTTTTTTTTTCTCCCCTGAAAGGAATTAATACATCATATGTACTTGCTAAGCCACGCGAGGACAACAAAATTTGTGTAACAATAAGGGACCTAGTTAGCACTAAACAGGGTGCTTATTTCCCCCCTCCCAACTTTTTAAGCACACATGGAAGGAGGCTACCCGTGAGGAAATATACCATATATTCTCCCATTTAATGCGACTTCCAGGGGGGGACATGTAGGAAGGTTCAAAAATGGGTAAATTGCTTATCTGCCCAATTTGAAAATGTGTAATCCCTTGGCCGTTTTTTATGTTTTTTTTTTTTTGAGCCCCAATTCGGCAGCTTATTGACACCACCCCACTGTGGCATTACAACTGTTGTACTATGTCGTTTCTTTTAAAGTCAACATAGCTACACACATCTCATATTTGTATGAGTTCGATCCGATTATATATTTTTGCTTAACGTGTCAAAGTAGTCCCTGCTTGGGTAGCAAGGCAGACTTAGAGACTACCCCCAGGTGAGTGCACGGCAGAGAGAGGGTTGTCTGTAGGTTTGCGCTACTACCATTTGGCCTCTTCCGCACATTCACAACCTTTTGTACGCCTATAACGTCTCCTTGCTGGGATGACAAAATGGCAGAGAACCCGAATGAAGAAAAAGAAACGGTCCGAGTGACCTCCTGCTGCTGGTTAAGCAAAAGAAAGATAAGCAACCTAAACAGAAACAAGAATACAGGAAACGACAGTTCCCCTGGGGGGGTCGAAATACAGGTGCCCAATTTTAACATATGTTTGACCTCCCTAAGTTTACCAATTATAAAATTAAAAAATGACTTGGACCGCATCAGTGAAAATAAGCAGATAACACGGTTGAGGGAGAATAAGGGGGGACAGAAGGGGCACCCGAATGGCTCTTTTAATAAGAGGGCAGACGCAGACCGCGAGATGTGCAAGACGCACGAGGGACGCCTCACGAATGATGATGAAGTATGCTCCATGCTACTTCGAAGCAAAGCCTTCAACGAAACTTGGAGAGTTCTTAACAGCTACATGAATTGCTTTGTTTACAATTACGTTAACGAAATGGTCCATAAGGAAATAAATTTTCTCAACAAGAACTTGTGCCTCCGGGATGACAAGGTGTCCCTGCTAATCGTGAAGACGCAGACTTGCCCCTTCGTCAATCTGCTACAATACCGGGCGTTGTCGCAGAAGCTGAAGGAGGTGAATGGGTGCACAGATGAGGTAGCGGCAGATGAGCGAAGCGGCAGCGGAAAGGCGGCGCATGAAGGCGAAAAAGAGGAGCGCGTAGGTGCGGACGAAGCGGATGCATCAGCGCAAGACACAACAAGCACGTTCACATACAACACATTTGACAACCGAGTGGTGACATATACACTGCTACGGAAGAGGAGACACATCGCGTCCTGCATCGTCAACGTATACACACACGACAGCGTGGAAAGCATACTCATAAGAATTATAAAAAAAATAAACCGCAAGTGTTTCATGAAAATCGACAAAAATAATATGAACGAATTATTTCAAAAAATGGTAAAAAAGAAGAAAAAAAAAGTACTTATTATATTTTTAAAAAATTATATCAAATTGAAGTCTTCCATTTTTAGTGGCCTCCTCCTTTATCTCTTACATTTGAAGGAAATTAATTCAATAAACATAAGTGTGATCATTACAAATAATTGTGTCCTGTCTGCATTAAGCAACTTGGATTATGTAGTAAAAAAAAATGTGCATGTAAATATATGTAATTTGTATTTAAATTATTATCACATGATTGAGAATATCATGTTCCATCCTTTTTTCAACAACGTCTTATTTAAATTGAAAGAATATTATACAATAATTGATTATCTTTTTTTTTTAAATCACAATATGAGTTTTCTTCAAGTAAAATATTTTTTCTACATGTTCGTAAGAGATTTTTTCGACAAAAAAATTTTGTCTTTTCTTAATCTCCCTCTGATTTATTTTTGCAAGCTTGGCAACAGGGGGAAGAACGTACAAGATCATTGTCCTGAGGGAGGAGAAAAATACACCAAACAGTTTAGCACCTTCAAGGGGGAGATATGTAACCATTTGAACCAACTTGATGTGGGAGACCTTCGCCAGAAGTTTGTGTTGCTTCTACACGCGAGCAATTTTGATGAGGCGCACATACGCCATTTGAAGTCCAAGGGCAGGCACCATACGCTCTACCTCATGAGTGAGGTGTGCGCGGCTGGGGAGAGCAATCATACTACGGGAGCTATGACCACCTGCGAAGACCCGGGCGGGCGGGGGACAAAATTATCAAATGAGCAAAAAAGTCCCCCTCCCATGGAAAAACGACAAAGCCAAGAAGAACCCACCAAGGGGAAGGGAAAAAACAAAAGACCGCTACTCACGGAGGGGGGAGATAACCACATGCATAACACGCCCCATCAGACAAGCAAAGAATTTTCCAAAAAGAGGAAAATAAAAAATGGGTTCTTCTACAACTGCATAAGATGTCTCAAATTTGCCAAAAATGAACGCACAGGGAAAAGCCACCAAGGAGAGGAAAGCGGTGATGAGAACGAAGGCAGTGTGCAGAATGGCGTATCCCCCATGTGGAACGACCCAAAGGGCAAAAGTGATTTTCCCCACAGAGGGGTTGGTGAAAACACCTATCCAGGGGATCCACATGATGAAAAAAATTACATGCACGAAATAATTCAACTGATGAACAGGGACTCCATAAAGAAGACACTCAAATCGAGTGACCAATACCGAAGCTATTACTTTCAAAATTATGTTTCGCATAATAAATTGGTGGAAGGTCTGTCTCCCATGAACAGAATAATAAACAAAGATTTCATAGAAGAATGTAACTGCATAAAAATGTATGTCATAAATAACCTGACCGATCATATGAAAATGGAGCACAACTTTGACCACCTTGAAGTGCTAAAAAAGGAATGGAAAAATAATGAGTATTGGACAATTCAGCAGTACGAACATGTGCTAGCGAAAATGGAAAAAAAAATTCAGAATGGTAAGGGGAATAAAAAAAAAGGCCCCCTGGGGAAAGACGCAATTAAGACGAATAGCAAAGGTGCAGAAAAATGCAACGTGGGAAAAAAGGAAAATGGACAAGTCAACCCTCAAGTGGCTCTTCTCTACTTACAAAAATGTCTTGCAAAATCGATCAGCAAAAGAATGATTACACTTTTGTATAAAAAAAAAAAATACAACTTATGTCTTTCCATTATAAATACAATTTTAAAAAACATCCCCTCGTACTCTTCCATGAGGAAAAGAGTTCATATTTTGAAAGATTTATTTAAAAAATACGAGAAGAAATTTTTTATTTACAACGTGAAGGATCTTACAAAGGCAAATGAAGAAATTGAAAAAGAATTTAAACAAATGGTAAATACGATTTGTGACATTTTAATAAATCTGTACATGGGAAAAATAAATGTATTAAAAAAAGTCCTCACTGACATTTCAACTTTTTTGCATAGCGTCAAGTATATTATTAAATTGGAAAAATACATAACTGACAAGCATTTTTCTGAATTGAATTTGGAACTTTTTATAAAAAAATTGAACATTTTAATTGTCTTTTTTGATTTCATTATCAATTTGAAGAAAAAAAAATGTCAAGATAAAATTTCTGCGCAAGAGTACCGGAGGGTCAAGTCGAATGGAGAGAGAGGGGGGGGTTCACTATTGGAGGAAAACAACTCCTGCTCTCCAATAACCACTTATAATGGGGACATGAGGAAAATTGGCACCACCTTGAAGTGTGACGGGGTGTATGGAATGGGGGGGAAGGCCGACGAACACAGCAGCAGCACTACTGTAGAATGTACAAGCCAAAGTGGTGACACACAAAACGTTACCCGTGACCTGGGAGGGAAGGTCAATTTAGAAGAAAGCTTCTCCCAGGGCGATATTGAAAATGGAAAACTGGCAAAACTACTGAGTACAATGAGCGACTCAGACATGGCTCTAACTCTTCTCGAATTTGTCTTCCTCTTTTTTTGTGAATTTTTTTACTTCCTCCTGATGCCATGTGTATTTCTCCTCCCCTTGGTAAACACATGTATCACACACGACCATTCCCCGGACGCACAGGAGCTGCTGAACAAAAATTTACGAATGAAGCTGCTGCAAGTTCTCTACCATAACAAATTAGAATTAAAAGATTTGAACGGCCCCAGCTGCATTGCCTCATCAGAGTTCAGCCGCCCTTATAATGAGGCAAAGAATTGTGTACTTGAAAAAAGTGCGAGGGGAGGGGATCCCCCCAATTTGGGAGACCTCGTAGCCAAGGAAAAAGGGGAAAGAAGCATCCTCCTCCCCGACGATGTGTTGAAGAAGGGCAGCCAAATGGAAGACATGGTGATTATGTTTCACATTATTCAAAACTTGAACGCCAGGCACCTGAACATGTGTAGCATGTTTATTCAGTATGTTCATGTGAAGCTGAACTTGAGCGGACAAGACGGTGATCATAGCCTCCGAAGGGGCGAAAACAAATGTGACCGCAGTAGTGCCATGCAAGGCAATCCCCGTTCGAGCAGAGCACCTCCCCGCGACGCCTCCAACGTCCACTGCGAATCCTTCCAAGAATTGTTTTACCATTTCGTTATTGCAACCATGTCCCTTTTTTATTATTTGAAAATCATTTACATCCCATCAGCCTTTGTGAAGGGAAAAGACGAAGCACAGGGGTCTCCATCATTCAGTTGCAAGGTGAGGGGAATCGATACGGGCGGCCACGACAATCACATGATTAGTGCGAATGAAAATGGAGACTCACCAAACGTACGTCGTCAGAAGGGTTCAAGCGTGCTGAGCAGGTGTGGGGGTGGACGCGTCGATGGTTTGGAGGAGACGGCCAAAGCGACCAGCGATGAGGACATGGCCAAAGCCCCCCTGGCACACGTAAACGGGGAAGCCGACCAAGAATACAAAAATTATATACTGGACATGTTGGGGAGCATCCACATACGGAGGTTGATATTTGGGCGGGGGTACACCGCCTGAGGGTTGTCGCGCTGATTTGAAAAAAGAAGTATTGCATTTTGCTGCCCGTTTCCATGCCCGCATTTGCGTGAGGCTCTTGTTCCACCTGCGCGAGCGCGCCGCGTGTTGACATATTTTAGGGTGTTCGACCAACTCATGGACTAATTTTCGAGCCACTTAAAATTTTCCGCCGAAGGGTCGGGGTGAGCTGGGAATACATACACACACATGAACGGTGCAGAGAAGGGGGAGTATACAAACGAATGTGTAGCGTGAGTGTGTACGGGGGGGACGCTCCCCCAAGCGTAACAACAATTAGAGTGACAGTGATGAGGAAAAAATATCACACCCGCCACATCGATTTAAAACTGCTTTAATTGAACAACTCGTGTGGAGTAGGAAGAAAAAACGGCCATCACAAAATCACACCTTTTTCTTAATCCTTTTAAAAAAAAAAACATGTTCATTCATTCCCAGTTGAAGCATGGCAGTATATTTTGTTCCTTTTTTTTTTAAGGCATGCATTTACGTCAAATTGGACCTGTCCCCCTATGGGTTTAGGGCTGCTTTTTCGTAACGACAACTTTTCAGCGCTGTTGTATGTATAATTTTGTATGTGTAGTGTACATATATTTGCACGCACATAAAACTTATAAAGCATATAAATTTACATACCTCTGTAGTATCATTATTCCATGTGCATGTCGCAGGCACTTTTTTTTTATAAGCCCACCGTGTGTACAAATGTGCGTTTTGCGGGGGACACTTTTTTTTTTTTCTTCCTTCCACTGCGCACGGGCCACGTTTTATGTTCTATGGCATCAGGAGTTGTTGTGCGCTTTTTAAAAAAAAGGCATGTGGTCAAGTCAGTTTTTTCTTCACTGTTTAAAAAGTTTCCTTAAATGCATGCAAGCAATTTGAAAATAAATAAAAAAGGAAAAATGAAAAATGCGCATATATATATATTTTCACATGCGAAGTTATGCATTAAAAACATATAAATAAAATATGTAGTGTACATTTCTTTATATATTACATATTTTTTTTTTTATCATTGCGAATAGTTTTACGGTAAGGCATCCTTTTTTTGTGGCACGTTTTTTTTTTTTTTTTTTTTTTTTTTTTTTGTTGTGCTTTTCCAACCGCCCCGCAGCTTCGTTTTACAAAATCCCTTCCCCTATATCAGCAAACAAGAAAAAAAGCCAGAAAAAAAACAAAGCAACACAATGCAACACATAAAAACCGTGAAATAAAAAAAGGCAAAGAGTAAAAACCTTGCAGAAGTCACTCCAGCCGAAACCCTCTTCCCGTTCACAACAAACGTTTACGCCCTTTTATCCATTTGTACATATATATTTATTTAATATTATTTATTTTTTTTTTTTATGTATTTTATTTGCCTTATTTAACTTATTATTTTTTTATTACATTTTGCTGCCTTTGTTTTTTATGTTCCCCTGAAGCGGCATTCAGTCGACTGTCGCAGTAAGGCGCGCCCCCTCCCCCCTTCCGAATTAAAAACAAGAAATATATATAAATAAAATACCCCCAGTTCCCTAGCATGAAGCTTCCAAGCCTCTTTTCCTTCGTCGTATGTTCCGCCGTTGCCCACGTGTCATGGTGTTCGGGTAAGTTTGCTTGAGTGACTTCACCAACTCATATAGTTGATTTGAAGAAGCACGTCCTGCTTCAGGTCATGTAAAAGAGAGAGTATTATATGCATTGTAAGAAAATATTCATATGAGCACATGGCATATATATTTATGCATCCCATAACGTATATGTCCAGGCGCTACCTTTGGCGCTTCTTCCTTCTACCAGTGCCACTTATATACTTCTTCATATGGACACATACATAGCGTTGAATAATGTATCCTCTCACGTGAGCTGCGTCCTTCCTGGGGTAAAGTCCTCCCCCCCCACACATAACCATACCAACAATGCATGCCTTGCTTATGGTGAATAATCCTCGTACAATGTGCTTGTTTGGTTGAGAACAATGTATATGCATGTCCATCCTTAACACTGCTTGTGGGAGAGCGCCTCCACTGTTGTGGTGACAAAACTTTTTTTTTTTTTTAATTTACGTAAAATGTGTTTCGTTTGAGTAATCCTGTGATAAGGCATACCTCTTGCACGGTTCACCATTGTGAAGCACCCGTGGGTGGTCCAGCGGCTGTCCCGCTTTTATAGCAGCAAGTAGTTTGCACTTATACAACCGCGTCCGACCCCATGAACACTTCCCCATTGTGTACATCGCTCGCTTCACCCGTCCACTTCCCGCAGACCAAAGCACGTACTCCTTCGACATTGTCAACAGCAACACCTGGTACAGTATCGCCAAGAAAATATTCCAAGGCACGACGCCGTGCAACTTTACCGTTATCCCTTCGAGTTATGTGAATAACTCAGATGCGGTGAGCAACACAGAAGGTTCCGTCTTGTTGATAAGAAAAAAGTTAAACAATCCTAACGAGGAAGGTGTGGAGACCCCCAGTGAAGGAAGCATCACGGGTAGTAGTGACAACACCGCTAGTGGTAACGAACCCACCGCTCACGAAGCAGAAATCAATTTGAATACCAATTTTGAAGGAGACGATTACGCCAAATTAAACGACAGTCTATCCCTTATTGACCAGTCCTTACGTGAGGAATCTGCATCTGAAGAGAATACAAAAATGGAAGACAGTAAAGTAGGATCAGTAAATCTTGAAGAGAAAATTACTTTAAACATGCCAGAAGAATATATGCCTCAGAACATTTCCGAAGTTCTAATCGGAGCAGCCGAAGAGGATCGCGCGTACGCCTTAAAGGGTGATGAGCCATGTGATGCTTACCTCAAAGTAGGAGAAATAATAAACGGCACGAATGAAAAAACAGTGCAATTTAATTTGCAGAAGAATAAAGTACTCTGTGTGCAATTTGAAGCTATCGGTGGAAATGGCTACGTGTGGGTCTTCTTAGGAGTTCATAAAGAAAAGCCCCAAATAAACCCAGAGCAATTTCCAAAAAAGAAAATGACCAAGTCGTTTTTCACAAACGAAATTTCTGTCACCCAGCCGAAAGCAATACAGAACAATTCGAACAACGCAGGTGACAATTCTGCCAATTCAGCAGGAAATGGAAAACCTCAAGCGAACGCACATTTGGGGGGATTCGTTGGAGGCACATCCACGTTGCAAAGTTTGGTGAGGGCACAAAAGCCTGGAACCTTTTACGTCGTCTATTCGTATTATAGACCCTTCGACCCCACTGCCAATTCAAACACAAAAATTTTGAAGTTGACCGTGTCGTAAGAGGTGCGTGTGCGTGTGCGTGAGCACATGTGCAGAGCGGTATAGAATCGTCTTTTTCTTACATCCTACGGCGTTTCTGCTACCTTGTTATATAATCCCGTTGCTATATGTTATGGCATCCATATGCGCTGCTGTACTTTTGGCCCAATTCAAATGTATCATCCCGTGTGGTAGCCAAAATGGAGCTCCGCAAAAGGATGGGTGAAAAAAAAAAAAAAAAAAAAAAAAAACCAAGCAGAAACTGCACACCGCACTGTGGAGAAAAGTAGTGCAAAAAAAAAATAGGGTAATGCCCAAATTGATTGTTAACATAAAACGGGGCTTCTTAACCCTAGCGACACAGACATATAGGCGAGTGTACCTATCTGTTGTCCTTGTCTCGTTTCGTTTGCAGTTTCGCTGCGTATTTTTTTTTTTTTTTTTTTTCTTTTTGCCCAGTTTTTATGCCTTCTTTTTATCCTTTTTTCTGTTTAGTCATACGTACACATAGAGATTAGCGCAACTTTGTCGAATGCTGTAATATAACACTTATGAAAGATAAGTTGCTCTGTCGACGGTTTTCTTCGTTTATTTTTTTTTCCCCCTCAAGCGTGATGGTTGCCCGTGCAAAGGGGATTGAGCGTGATGTCGTAGCGCTTATTATGGGTTGCCATGGTGTCAACAGGGGGTTGAAAAGTCAAAAGCAACGGTTCCTCTTTAACTATACATACGTGTCGTTATATCCCCTTTAGTGGTGCTTCACCGATTGACACAAACACGGAAACACCCTTTTTGTACACCCGTAAGAGCGTATTTTTTTTCTACATTATGGGGTGGCTTTTTTCCTCCTCACGAGGCACACAGAGAAAAGGTCAAAGTGATGAAGTGAAAAGGGAGCTTCAAAATTATTCCTGATAGGTCGAGGTGCTGCGCAGTCATGGACCCCAAAAAAAAAAAAAAAAAAAAAAAAAAAAAAAAGAGTCTAGCGCGTGTAACCCGTTGATGAAAAAACGGAGAGGAAAAATATAACAATGGGCAAAAGGCATCCCCCAATGGCAAATGTGCTATATGTAAAGAAGCGAAACCTTTCGCACATACACCTACGGTGATACAAACGTTGAGCTTAAAGTTGCCAAGGGGAAAACGACAACGATGACAAATTTGGTAGGCAACGGAATTAGTAGAAGCGACGTTAAAGCGATCACCAGGAGGGGCATGGGCCTGGGCATGAACAAACTAATATACATTTATACCTGCACGGGGGAAGGCACAAATGACGAATCGTCCTTTAGGAACCTCCCCCCCCAAAAGCAGGCTTACACTACTCCCACCCTCGTGGAGAATAAATGGAGGCGATTAAAACATTCGTGCCGCTTGTAGTCGGCTCATACGGACTGTCGATGAGTTCATATCTGCTCTACCAAAACAGAAACAAAGAAAATTGGAAACAAGTCGATGGCTATGTTGATAATGTGACCCTAAAATATTCGAAGAACTTGTTCCAGGGGACGTTCCACCTGAACATAAAATATTTTTTTTATATAAATAAAAAAAAAATTGAAAACAGTAAAGAGTACAAAATTTACGTTCATCTCAGAAGCCATGAGGGAGAACAAGTGCAGACAAATGAATACACACGAAATATTTTCGACCAAGTTAGTAAAGAAAAAAATATTAAAATATGTTACAACCCCGAGGATGCAGAGCAGTCGGAGCCCTTGATATACATTTACGAAAATGAAATAATCGCACGGGAGAAGTTAGCCAATAGAGTGAAGAAAAAGCTTGTTCGCATAAATACGGGTGTTGCGACGTTTCTTCACTTGGGGGAATCGCCCGAGAGAAACGATGAGAGCGCGAAAGGGTTGGATGATTCTTCCCCCACTAACCAAACAGCTAAGTTGAAGGGAAACAACACATCAGCCACGGCAACGTCCCCCTGCGATGGAGCAACGGACGATAAGGGCAAGTCAAATGGACCCTCAGAACCTTCGCAGTTAACCAAAAAAAAAATAAACGCATATGACATAAATAATTTATTCCCATGGTACATGTTCTCATGTAGCCTCTTCCTGTTTTTGTCTTTTTTTTTGAAGAAGAGAATTCACTTTGTGAGAAGGTCAATATTGGCACAAAAAAAAAAATGGGATAATAATTGAGGGTGACGGGAAGAAACGGGGGGGTGGCGGAAATTAGACAATATAATCAGTGAAGAGAAAACAAATCTATCCCCAAGGGGAAGAAGAAAAAAATAATAAAAAAAAAAAGGGCACAGATACGACGCTTCCGCGTGCTTCCGCGTGCTTCCGCGTACTTCCGCTAGTGTGAGTTCAATGTTTGGGCGCTGTCCCACCCCTGCTGCTTTATTGCCCCTTCAAGTCGAAGAGCTTGGTGAACATATTTGGCGGCAGCTTGACCTTGCCGATGCTGAACATCTTTTTCTTCCCTGCGCTCTGCTTCTCGAGCAACTTCCTGCGCCGTGTGATATCCCCCCCGTAGCATTTAGCGGTGACATTTTTCCTCAGCGGGTTGATCCGCTCCGAGGCGAAGATCCGGGTCCCCACACCTGCCTGAATAACAACAAGGAACTGATGAGGCTTTATCAGTTCTTTCAATTTTAAAACAATGCGTTTCCCCTTCTCATGATAATTTAATTTGTGTGCCAGGAAGGACAAGGAGTCGATACTCCTATTATTAACGTATATGTTAATTTTGTGCAAATCGCTTTCCCTATATGTGACGTAATTTTGGTAGCTCATGGACCCATAGCCCTTTGTGCAGGATTTTATTTGGTCCAAAAAGTTAATCAAAATTTCTGACAACGGCATGTCGAAATAGAAGATGACATGGCTGTCCATGTTTTCCTTTTTAATAAAAATTCCTCTCCTTTGGAAACACTCCGCCATGATATATTTTTGGTACTCCTCCGGCGTCATTATGCTCGTTCGCACGTACGGCTCGTAAATTCCGTGGATGTAGTTTTTTTGGGGGATGTCGTTGACGTTGCTCGTCATGTAGTACAGTCCTTCGTGTTCTTTTTTGCCGCCCCCATCACCATCGCGATTACAAACGCGATTGTCATCGCCATGCACATCGCCACCGCTGTTGTCACCGCGTGAGTCCAGGTTAACGTTGGATATGTCGAACCTCACGTCCATCAGCCTCTCCTTGAGCTGCTTGTCAATGCACTTCTCCTTGACCCTCACCAGGTAATTCACAGACGGGGCCGTCACAATGGTCTCGACGCCATACTCCCGTTTGATTCTCTCCTGGATTATGTTAAGGTGTAACAATCCGTTAAACCCGCACTTGAACCCCTTGCCCAACGTTTCACAAACATCAGGCTTGAAGGAAAAGGACGTATCATTCAGCTTCAACTTGTTTAGTGCCGCCTCCAGTTCATTGGCCTGCTTGTCGTTGACGCTGTATATGTTACAAAACACAACTGGGTACGAGACGTCCACCTTGGAAGCAGCGATCTGCTCCAGGTTGATTTCTCGCTCGGTGCGCTTCTCCCTTTGTGGGGAGGCAGCACCCTGGCAGGTATCCATGCCGCCTTGCTTTACACTACTATTCTCTTCACCGCTGCACTCCCCGCCGAGCCGATCCAAATCGACCACGAACCGACGCTGAGCATTCATGTGCACGATATCTCTGCTAACTATCGTCTCGCTGATCTGCACCTCATCACATTTTCTTATGTTGGATGACACGTACGCAATGTCCCCCTGCCGTATACACTCCACGGGTTTCATATCCGGGGTGAGGTACCCAACCTCTTGAATGGTGTACGTCTTTTCGCTCTGAATAAAAAAAACTTCCATTTTTTTTGTCAACACCCCATTTAACACTTTAATAATTAATATGACCCCCTTGTACTGGTCATAGAAGGAGTCAAAAATGATGGCCCTAAAGAAGGAATTGGATTTGATCGCAGGACAAGGGATGTCGGAGACAATTCTCTGAAACAAAGTTTCAACTCCATGTGCATATTTCGCAGAGATGTGTAAAATGTCTTTCTTCATAGAATGAAATTTGTTTAACAAATCACTTTCTATTTTGTCCAACCTGCACATGTTCAGGTCAATTTTATTGATCACAGGAATTATTTTTAAATTATGTTTTTGCAACTCCAGAAATATGTTCAGGGTCTGCGATTGAATCCCTTTTGTCCCATCAATGAGTAGTATGGCTCCTTCACACACACTAAGGGATCTTTTTACTTCATGATAAAAGTCAAAGTGTCCTGGTGTGTCAATTAAATTGAAAATATAATTTTGGTAATTCATTCGTACTGCCTTCAACTTAATGGTGATTCCTTTCTCCCTCTCCAAAGACATCATATCGAGAAACTGGTCTTGCATTTTTTTCTTTTTTATTGTTTTTGTTAATTCTAGGAACCGATCAGCTAGGGTTGACTTCCCGCTGTCGATGTGAGCCAGTATGCAAAAATTGCGGACGTTTTGTTGGGGGCATTCTGGGGCTCCTCCAACATCGCCGCAGCTGCTTCGATTGCTACTGCTGCTGCGTGTCTTACTCTTATGTGCTTCCATCCCAGGTGAGGGTCCTCCACCAAGGCCGTCATCCCCCAACTGCCCTGTTGCACCGATCACCTTACCATGTCGCCGATCGAGCGGTAAGCCATTCCTTCTCCGGGCAATAACTTCCAAATTGCTGCTACACGGTATGACTGTTGAGTTATATTGTTTTGTGCTTAAGCTTTTCCGTTGGCACTCCTGCAACAGGAACAGTGGAATAGATTTATGGAAGCGAAAGAATGGTCTTGCACCAGTGGCCCATCCCCTCCTACCCTTCCTTCTCTTCGTGTCTTTCCCGTTGTTACCCCTCTGAATATTAAAGAACACCCCTTTCCCTTTCCACTCCCGTTCGAAGTCATTTGTGCCGTCAGGTCGGGTGTAAACTCCTTTTGTCGATTTCCACGTAATTCTATGCGAACGCACTACTTTTAGCACACAAGTGATGAGGATAAAAATGCACAGCGCCCTTTTGATTGCCCAGACATGAATCATTAAAATGCGGTTTGAATCAGAAGCGTGAGCGGTTCGTCTGGTTGCATACGCATGGACAGGGCTAGTATCTCTTTACGTCGTTCTTCACACGCAGAGGGGCCAACATACACACACCCCTATGCACCAATTGACAAATGTGTGCGCGGTTAGAAGCCCTTGAGGGAAGTCACGTGGAAAGGGCCCAAAAAGATAGCCTTCTTTTACAAAGGTAAGAAGAGAGATAACGTTGTATTCGTGGCAGCATGCCAATTTTGCACGGCACAGCCGCGAAGGATACTAAACTAGAGATGGTGCTACGAGAAAGCATCCCCATTGTGAAGCCGAACCATTTTCGCATTTACACAGAGCGAGTGGAAAAATGAGTCACATTGTTGGGACCTCCTATGCATCCTTACATTTGCGCACGCATGGGTGTAGCTCCGCGCTATGTTCTCCTCTCCTCGGCTGTTTTGTGTGTTTTTTTTTTTTGTTTCTTTTCCCCTTTCGCCAGGTGGGTGATATTTCTCTAAATTCGGGATGTGCGCAGCGGTTACGAAGAAGAAGTAACTTTTTGAAAAGGGCCAAAAAAAAAAAATGTGTCAAAAAAAAGTGTCAACAAAAAGTGTCAAAAAAAAGTGTCAAAAGAAAGTGTTAAAGGAATACCTCAAAAAGAGGCTAAAAAAAAAAAAAAAAAAAAAAAAAAA